TCCTTTCTTTCCTTTCCTTTCCTTTCTTCCTATTCTTCCCTTTCCTTTCCTTTCCTTCCCTTCCTTCCTTTCCCTTCCTTTCTTTCCTTTCCTTCCTGTTCCTTTCCTTCCTCTTTCTTTCCTTTCTCTTTCCTTTCCTCTTCCCTTTCCTCTCCTTTCCTTCTTTCCTCCCTCTCATTTCTTTCCTTTCCTTTCGTTTCCTTTCCTTTCTTCTTCCTTTCGTTTTCCTTTCCTTTTCCTTTCCTTTCCTCCCTTCTTTCTCTTTTCTTTCCTTTTCTCTTTCCTTTCCTCTTCTTCCTTTCCTCTTTCCTTTCCTCTTTCCTTTCCTCTCCTTCCTTGTTCCTTTCTTTCCCTTCCCCCCAACAAAAAAGTCTATGTCCTTCAAGTGTAAGCCGCTGACTAGTTGGATTGTGTCATTGAATTAATATGCAGATAAATTCACAGTTGCACATTGTTAGATGAATTCTGGAATTGTACTGTTTTCTATGATTTTACCCTTTATTTTTTATTTACCTGTTCTTTTTTTTTTGTTTTTTTTTTTTTTTTTTAAGACGGAGTCTCACTTGTTGCCAGGTAGTTTGTTGTTTGTGTGTTGTTATGTCCTCGGTCACAGCAGCCTCCAACTCCTGGCCTCCTGCACCTCATGTGATCCTCCACCTCGGGACTCCCTCCAGAGTAGCCTGAGTATGTGGACGCCGGGCTCATTTTTTTCTTAATACATTTTGTTTGTCCTTGTTTCTTTTGTTCTTTTTCCCCGTTATTATTATTAAAGACGGACGGTCTCGCTCTTGTCTTTTTGTTGTGTTGTTGTTTTTTCTTGAGCTTGAGCGACCTCCTGACCTCACGCCTCCCTCCCGGAGTAGCTGGGACTACAGGCAGTGACCAACCCTTTTTTGGGCTCATTTTTTCTAGATATTTTTAGTTTTCCAGCTAATTTCTTTCTATTATTTTTAGTAGAGATGTGGGGGGGTCTCACTCTTGCTCTGGCTGGTCTCAAACTCCTGACCTCAAGCGAGGCCTGACCTCCGGCCTCAGCCTCCTCCCGAGTAGCTGGGACTACAGGCATGCGCCACCACGCCCGGCTCATTTTTTCTATATATAATTTTACTTGTCCAGTTCATTTCTTTCTATTTTTATAGTAGAGACGGGGTCTCGCTCTTGCTCAGGCTGGCCTCCAACTCCTGAACTTGAGCGATCCTCCCACCTCAGCCTCCCAAGTACCTAGGATTACAGTTTTTCTGTATATTTTTAGTTGCCCAGCTAATTTCTAATTTTTTTTTTTTTCAGTAGAGACAGGGGGTCTGGCTCTTGCTCAGGCTGACCTCGACCCCCTGACCTCGAGCGATCCTCCCACCTCAGCCTCCTCCCAGAGTGCCGGGATGACAGGCGTGAGCCTCCGCGCCCGGCCATCTGCGATATTTTTATGAAAGGAATCATACTGATTGGACATTAGGGCGCAAAGAAGCGGATTTGAAACTTTTAAGTCACTCGGTCATCTTTCTTCTTGCTTTTAATCGTAGGCTCATCAGAGTGGCTTGCTACAGAAACTCCTAAAGGAAGACTCGGCGTATGACTACGACCTCATCGTCATCGGAGGTGGCTCTGGTGGCTTGGCGTGTGCGAAGGTATGAACATAGAAATGACAATCTATAATGACATCTAGAAGCAGGAGGCTCGCTGGAGGCCAGGAGTCGGAGGCCGCTGTGAGCGAGGCTGACGCCACGGCGCTCACTCCGGCCCGGGCGACACAGCGAGACTCTGTCTCAAAAAAAAAATAATAATAATAATTCTCGCCAAGATTTATTGTTAAAGAAAGGAAACATAGAAAAATCAAAAATAAAAGATTAAAAAAACAATTAAAAACAAATAAATAAAATAAAATATAATGTCTATACTCATAGATCATTTTCCTGGTGGTTAAGATAAGCAGTCCTGCTAGTTAGAAATAATGGACAGTTGAGGCCGGGCGCGGAGGCTCACGCCTGTCATCCTGCCACTCTGGGAGGCCGAGGCGGGAGGATTGCTCGAGGTCAGGAGTTGGAGGCCAGCCTGAGCAAGACCGAGACCTCGTGTCTCTACTAAAAGATAGAGGGGAATTAATTGGCCAACTAAAAATATATAGGAAAATAAAATTAGCCCAGCACGGTGGCGCACGCCTGTAGTTCCAGCTACACGGGAGGGAGGCCGAGGCGGGAGGATCGCTCGAGGCCAGGAGTTTGAGACCAACCTGAGCAAAAGCGAGACCCCGTCTCTACCAAAAATAATGGAAGAAATTAGCTGGACAACTAAAAATATATAGAAAAAAAATGAGCCGGGCGTGGAGGCGCATGCCTGTAGTCCCAGCTACTCGGGAGGGAGGCTGAGGCAGGAGGATCACTCGAGGCCAGGAGTCGGAGGCCGCTGTGAGCGAGGCTGGCGCCACGGCGCTCACTCCAGCCCGGGCGACAGAGCGAGACTCTGTCTCAAAAAATAACAACAATAATAATAATAATATTTATTAACAATGTTGTAATCCAAGACTTTATCGTAATAGCAAGTTTAATTCTGGGGGGAAAAAAAAAAACTGTGTCATCTCACAAAAAGAAGTCTGTTTTCATTTAGGCGAGAGGAAAAATTGGGGGAATATCAGGAAAATGATAAGATCGTTATATGTAGCCATTTCTTTCTTTCTTTTTTTTTTTTTTTAGGAAGCTGCCATTTTGGGAAAGAAAGTCATGGTGCTGGACTTCGTGGTGCCCTCGCCCCAGGGCACATCTTGGGGTGAGCCGTTTTTCTTTGTTGCTCTCTGCTCTTTACTTATGTTGTTTGCCGTAGATCACCTCGTTTAATCCTCACAACAATCTCAAGGGGCATAACTACCCAATTCTCTTTTTTCTTGTTTTTTTTTTTTTGAGACAGAATCTAGCTTTGTCGCCCAGGCTAGAGTGTCCACGTGGCGTCAGCCTCGCTCACAGCAGCCTCCAACTCCTGGCCTCTAAGCGATCCTCCTGCCTCGGCCTCCCTCCCGGGTAGCTGGGACTCCAGGCATGCGCCACCACGCCCGGCTCATTTTTTCTCTATATGTTTTTAGTTGTCCAATTAATTTCTATTTTTAGTAGAGACGGGGTCTCGCTCTTGCTCGGGCTGGTCTTGAACTCCTGACCTCGAGCGAGCCTCCTGCCTCGGCCTCCCTCCCGAGTAGCTGGGACTACAGGCTTGCGCCACCACGCCCGGTTCATTTTTTCTATAAATTTTGCTTGTCCGGCTAATTTCTTTCTTATTTTTTTAGTAGAGACGGGGTCTTGATCTGGCTGAGGCTGGTCTTGAACTCCTGACCTCGAGCGATCCTCCCACCTCTGCCTCCTCCCGAGTAGCTGTGACTACAGGCATGCGCCTCAATGCCCAACTCATTTTTTTTCTATATGTTTTTAGTTGGCCAATTAATTTGTTTCTATTTTTAGTAGAGACGGGGTCTCGCTCTTGCTCAGGCTGGTTTCGAACTCCCAACCTGGAGCGATCCTCCCACCTCGGCCTCCCACAGTGCTGGGATGACAGGCGGGAGCCTCCGCGCCCGGCCTAGCCTGTTTTCATAGATGAAAGAACTGAGTCTTAGATTACAGTTAACAAGTAGTAATATGGGAAAGTTAATAGAAAAATTATTAAGTAAGATTTTGCAGGCTGGGCGCGGTGGCTCCCGCCTGAAATCCTAGCACTCTGGGAGGCCAAAGCGGGAGGATTGCTCGAGGTCAGGAGTTCGAAACCAGCCTGAGCAGGAGCGAGACCCTGTCTCTACTA